TGCACCGCTTCGGTCTAAGCTGGAGTCCAAGGACCGTGTCGCAGGGCTAAAACACCATGGCAGTGAAGGACGGATTAGGCCCGCGGCCCGTATCCCAGACTGCCAAACGTCACTTTCTGAACCGACTAGAAACTAGCTCCAAACCTTGACTTTTCCTGCGTTTCTGCACTGCCAACTGCCACCCTGCTCGTGTCCTCCTGGAGCCGGCTTTCGTTCTGCACCGCTTCGGTCCAAGCTGGAGTCCAAGGACCGTGTCGCAGGGCTAAAACACCATGGCAGTGAAGGACGGATTGGGCCCGCGGCCCGTATCCCAGACTGCCAAACGTCACTTTCTGAACCGACTAGAAACTAGCTCCAAACCTTGACTTTTCCTGCGTTTCTGCACTGCCAACTGCCACCCTGCTCGTGTCCTCCTGGAGCCGGCTTTCGTTCTGCACCGCTTCGGTCCAAGCTGGAGTCCAAGGACCGTGTCGCAGGGCTAAAACACCATGGCAGTGAAGGACGGATTGGGCCCGCGGCCCGTATCCCAGACTGCCAAACGTCACTTTCTGAACCGACTAGAAACTAGCTCCAAACCTTGACTTTTCCTGCGTTTCTGCACTGCCAACTGCCACCCTGCTCGTGTCCTCCTGGAGCCGACCTTCGTTCTGCACCGCTTCGGTCCAAGCTGGAGTCCAAGGACCGTGTCGCAGGGCTAAAACACCATGGCAGTGAAGGACGGATTGGGCCCGCGGCCCGTATCCTAGACTGCCAAACGTCACTTTCTGAACCGACTAGAAACTAGCTCCAAACCTTGACTTTTCCTGCGTTTCTGCACTGCCAACTGCCACCCTGCTCGTGTCCTCCTGGAGCCGGCTTTCGTTCTGCACCGCTTCGGTCCAAGCTGGAGTCCAAGGACCGTGTCGCAGGGCTAAAACACCATGGCAGTGAAGGACGGATTGGGCCCGCGGCCCGTATCCCAGACTGCCAAACGTCACTTTCTGAACCGACTAGAAACTAGCTCCAAACCTTGACTTTTCCTGCGTTTCTGCACTGCCAACTGCCACCCTGCTCGTGTTCTCCTGGAGCCGGCTTTCGTTCTGCACCGCTTCGGTCCAAGCTGGAGTCCAAGGACCGTGTCGCAGGGCTAAAACACCATGGCAGTGAAGGACGGATTGGGCCCGCGGCCCGTATCCCAGGCTGCCAAACGTCACTTTCTGAACCGACTAGAAACTAGCTCCAAACCTTGACTTTTCCTGCGTTTCTACACTGCCAACTGCCACCCTGCTCGTGTCCTTCTGGAGCCGGCTTTCGTTCTGCACAAACTCTTCGCCCCTTCTGGCATCTTGTTGCTAGTAAGGCCTCCTCTGACGCGCTCCCCCTGCTGACGGCAGGGGTCGGCGGATTATTATATATACATGGATATATATGGATATATACTGAAATATAAGGTGGAAAACCCAATGCCGCACACCCACCATTTGAGCCATGTTTTTTTTCCAGATGATGGAATTTAGATTGAGGAGGAACTAACATCATTCATGCGTAGGCTGTTCTGCTTGGTGCGTAGGTCCTGCGTAGGCATATGGCGCAGGATAACGTAGGAGAGGCTGCGTAGGCAGTCTCAAGTCTCGCGTAGGTGCTTGTTTAGGTGTTCTAGATAGTTTGTTTCTGACCTCGGACTCTTGTTTTTTCTTGGTGGGTGAGAATGATTTTGCATGCAAACTGGATTGTATGATTCATATAGCTGGAAGAAAGGGAGATTAAAGAAACAAACGCAATTTTTAGAAAATTACAGTGCCAAGTTTTCAGAAATCCATGTTCGGTTCGGACTTTCGCGTAGGCTCCGCGTAGGCCCTCGCGTAGGAAACGCGTAGGCCCTCAGGTCAAATTGTGGCCCATAGCCCATCCAAAGCTTTTCCAAGGTCAATATCTGACTATCTTCCATGACAAAGTGCTCCACATGCTCCACGCTTGATGAGGTTTCCGCCTTCCTTTCACAAGTCATCCAAAGAATCGTCATCTTCCAATTCTTCTTATTCCTCTTCTAAACCAGAATCGTGACCACATCACGTCAAGTAAAGAGATGAAATCACCGATATAAAAATGGTGATGACTTTGGGATGGTGACCCCCCAAGAAGATGCAGAAAGGGTGAGAGGGTGCCCAGCTAAGCTGGTTTGGTTGGTTTGGTTCACTAGTTTCGCTAGGCTTTATAGTATCAATAAATATATATATATATATAAATAGATACATACATACATACATACATATATATATTTAGACAAATAGATCCATAGATTCGATAGATAGATAGATAGATAGATAGATAGATAGACAGACAGACAGATAGATAGATAGATAGATAGATATAGATAGATAGATAGATAGACAGACAGACAGATAGATAGATAGGATTAGGTAGGATTAGATAGGAGATTAGAAAGGAGATTAGATAGGAGATTAGATAGGATTGGATAGGATTAGATAGGATTATACAGGATTAGATAGATGAATTAGAT